AGAACACTCGTTTTGAACCTGCCCCACTCTGTGTAATGTTAAAGAGTAGAAACTCAGGCAATGGCTCAGGTTACTTACTAAATTTTATACTGGATTATTCGCTATCCGGTGGTTAATATTTTATAAAATGAAATTTATCATGCGTGTTGTTAAATGTAGCTTCTACCTTAATATACGCTCCAATTATAAATCTAATCTGTAGTTTTTGTCTGATTTAACAAATTTACTACTAAATAAATACACTGCAAAATAGCTAAGAAACGAGTAAAGTTAACCATAACTCTGAGTGTTAATATTTCTCTTGTAAACGAAAACACATTTATCAGGTTCCGCCAGAGGTCAAATCGCTACCGTGCATCGCAGTTAGTTGAATCAATCTATAATTCAGTTGTAATTCCTCTTGGTCAAAGAAATGTGCTTAATGATAGTTATTTACTTGCTTGTATTTATTAACTTTCGCGTGTTGTGCTGCCCAAACTCGGCCGAAATTGAGCACCTGAAATGGGAGTTTCAGAAACTCGATAAAGCATGGGTCGAACAGCTCACGGATGACCGTAATAATATTTCACTCAATGGGCTCATTAAATTTAATCATCAGGAATTGCAACCGGTAAGCCATACTTTTGAAATTCATTCAGATAATGTTGGTTTTTGCTAGTTACTTAGTAACTATCCCGATCAAAGTCTATCGAAAGGAACTGTGTTAACAACAATTGCAGATAACTGCGGATATTCTAACGCGCTTAAATCAATCAAAGTTGAGAGATCAATACTTGGCCAACATTGACCATCAGCTGATTTGGGGAGGATTTGCCAGTTTTATACGATGCATCAGCGCATTATCCGGTAAAGACCCCATACTAGAAAAGCTCTACTTAGCCCAACAAGCGCTTCAAAGGAGCGTCGCAATGAAACGCTCAATGGAAACTATTTATCGCCAGCTTCAGTTGAATTTACTTCGAATCATCCACAAAGTAAAAGAATCAAATCATTGCATGATCAATGAAATCCGCCAATTTTGAATAATTGCAGGATCTCAACAGCAGGCAGTGGTGCATCTCAGAAACAACGCAGCTGGACTATGGCTGTAAGAATGAGAACATCGTTGTGATTTATGAATTTGTGGCAGTAACGGAACTAAGGAACGAAATCATTGAACGAATCAGAACACTGCTGGAATGGTCACCTTTAGGTACACACAGGCGCCAAACCACTTACTCAACAAAAACACCAACACTCACCCCCATTTCAGGTGGTTATCAAAACATGCGACTTCCGTATAAAACCAGAGCATTATTCGACAAATATTCATCCTTCAGAGTACACAAAGACATACGCATATGCGACCCGAATAAATTTATCCTAGGTAGGAGGTAGTTTCGAAATAATCCCCTGCTAAAAATGCCACTTTCAAGGAAAAAACTATCTTCGATTCACTAAACTGCTACAGGGATTCATTCGCTCATTTGACGTGCAAAAAGCCCATGAGTACATTAACCGGTGCTCTGCTCGAATATTCAACTGTATACCAACCACATCGACACTGAAAGCCTGCCAATCAGTAAGAGTAGACATTTTAGTGCGCTTTTAATGAAAGAAAAAAACCCGCAAAGCTACCCAGAATCAGGTGCTAATTAATTGCCATCTTTACAGCCATTCAAGCACAAGAGATTTGATTTTATTCAACAGAGCAATGGGACTTTCCTAGGACGACGCCAATATTGCTCAACAATTCAACATTGGGACGCCAGTTCGTCAATATGTCTATGTGATCAAACTGGAGCGGACTCTGATAGATTCATTAGTCTTATCCCGGTTACATCGAATATATTGCAAAACAAGTAGGTGTATATGGAGTTTGATAAGCAATACCCAATAAATACCGTTTAATTAGGGTGATAACTGGGGTCAAATTTATCAAACCCTATCAAATACTGCAACTCCAAATTCAACAAGGGCAACTTCTACCAAATGGCAATATTAACCAATCGACTGTTGAATGGATTCCTTCCGAAACATTCAATGTAACAGATGCGGGTGTTTTGAATAACAAAGATTATTTTCTACTCACAAATTTGAGCAGAACAATTGCCATTGACGAGCTTGAGACGAAAAAGAGCAACCATGCAATGACTGGTAAGTATGCAAAATTGTACCAAACGTACTGGAAACCGCATGTAAATAGTTTGTTTTCTTCATTTACTTCTTACTTTTCAACTTAGTTTCACCCGGTTTGATGTGGCGAAGAAATTACGGCATTTTATTTAAAATACATCCATAACAATTACTTGGTGAGTTTCGTTTTCTTAAATCATGCTCAGGTATCAAGAACCTGCAACCCCCTAAGCACGTACTAAATTGATTTTTTTCTAACTTTTTTACTCAAAATTTGAGTGCGTAAACCCAGATAGAGAGTTGCCCCCACAACTGGTTGAAAGAGAAAACTTCACTCTAGAATTCCCCAAAAGTTTCATTTTAGCAAGGTAATCTTTGAATTTTTTTCTAGTTCGATTCACCTTTTAAAAAAAAATACTGCATAAACCCCAGACCAAATACGAGGTTTCTTGCAAGACTATACGAAAGAGAAAACTTCAGTCCTTAATTATGTGAATTTCTTTTAACTCAAGTCGTTTTTGGATTTTTCACAATCGCACTCGATTACTGTTTCCTCACAACCGCACCACATTTAAAAACATATTGCATAAACCTCAGACCAAACACGTAGTTGATGTCAACATTAATCCAGGGAGAAAGTCTCACTCTAAATGCCAGAAAAGTTTCATTCATGTCCGCTAGCTTTTAGATTTTTGCTGATTTTTCAAAGATGCAGACTGTCTTCCAGCGAAATTGTTGTCAAAAATCATTCAATCCATCAAGATCTAACGCTTACTGATGGATGTATTTGCGCAAACGAAAAATATTCTTCCATACGTTAAGCTGATTAATAAATTAGTAAAAATTATTATTTCAATTTAGGCATAGGTTTTACAGTGTTTAAAGATGTGATCCATCTGAAAATTGGCCTGCATAGTTTCAACGCAGACAATGGCCTTTTGAATTCCGATCAAGAAGTGCTAATGAACGAGCAGCAGAACAGGTAAAAAATCGCTTTGCAATAAGGAATAATTGTCACTTTGGGCATGCCTTATTTCTACTTTTAGGCCTTTTGTACCTTTGTCTGATATGGACGTTCCAAGCTATACCGACAGACCGTCTGAACTGATGTCTTTTACACCGATGTTTTTAAATTTTACACACACTGGTTTCACACAGGATATGGCCCAAACCACTGTTCCATTTCTGGATTCACAGGAAGTTACCAGCAACCCGGCAGTGCCCTTAACGGGAGCAGGACTTTACTATAAGGCCCGTAGCGGGTATGGGGGATTTTTGGCCCCCGTCATCAAAACAATGAGAAAATTCATGTATGTAAACTGAAATAAAATGTATTTTTTACAGAAACCAATATACCTTTAACGTAAATTATTTGTCCACTACCATTGTATAACCATTTCAATCATACAAAAGCTTACCCACTGTATAAATATGAAGATTCCTAAATTTCCATACAGTTGCTAAAGTGACTGCCCGAGCAATATGCCTATCTTTATCACGTAAAAATCCGAAGTTTATCAGTGTTCGCATGGCTTGATGGTCATTAAAACTGTTTATAAGCGGCTATCTTAGAACAGTAATTATATTATAATTGTGATCACTCAACATTGCTGCTAGATAGTTTGGAACCATGATGCTAAGAAAGTGTGTGCTATTAGTGGCCTTAGCGCATATTGCTATTGGCGAAAATCATTTATTAGTGGACAAATTAAGACTCGATTTCATCGATCTTGAGGACAAGTTGTGGAAATTCGTGCTGTGGGAAGCCCCAACTGTCGATAAAACCAATGCAGAGTTTCATGTGATAAACAGGTTTAGTGAGTTTGATCAAGCGATGAAGCAGGTAAAAACCACTCGAGCAAGAAAAACACTTTTGATGGAACTCCTCATGATATCTGGATTATTTTAGATGCCAAATGACATTTTCCTAGGAACCAAACCATTATGGAATATTCACTCATTCTTATTCCTGCATGCTGAAGTCGAGCACACGCAACGAATGTACAATAAATTCAGGGAATTTCTGGACGATCAGCTGGGAAATGACCCTTTGATAATCGGAGGCAAAGAATCTAAAATACAGAAACCCAAAATAAGAGCAGCTGACTTAATTAGAGATATATTGGAGCCAAACAATGGCGCTAACGCAACAGTGCACAAGGTTTATCATTTGACATTCGGCGAGGAAAATATGGGATTGAAGGTTCTAAATGTAAGACCTCAATAGTGAATGATAACAAAGTGACTAACGTGTGCTTCAGTTTCTAGTGAATGAGGGCCCCTGTAAAAATTACAGCCAATCCCAACAGCAAATCTACTACAACCTGTATAACGTTATCGCTTTCAACGGCTTGAAAAACTATGTGATGCTTCAGTTCGCCTATTTGATGAGCAGAATTTCGCATAAAGGTAAACGCTGTTTATAAGCAAAAAGCTGTATTTCAAGAACTTTAATGTATACGTCACTCTCAGGCAATTATACCGACCTATCTGAAATCGTTAAGGTAAATTTCGAAAAGCGCGTGAATGAAACAATGTCCATATTCAGAGGATTGATGGAAGTTGTACCTACAGCTACATGGAACTGCGATCCGGAAGTTCACGAAAAAGGTATGCAGCTGTTAAGAATCATTGCTTTGGTTTGTGAAATTTGAGCCTGTCCATTCCAGGCTTTTGTAAATATCGAATATTATCAATGTATTCTAGGGCAAACTTATGAAGAATTTACCAGATTACTTCAGGGACACATCGAAAATGAAGTGGACATGAACAATGGCGGAACTTGCTTGCAAGACTGCTCCGCATACTCAGCAACCAAGAGCTACGGGTGCTATGATAGCGACAGCAAATACTGCCGTGAAGTAGAGAGATGCAATGGGGATATTTTAAATTGCCGATTTGTCAAAAACCACATGGAAGTTTGTCCGTCGGTAGATATTTCGCCAATCATTCAACTCACTCTTTACATAGAATTTAAAAAAAATGTTGACAGAATTCCTCGGAAAGACGATATGACTACATTCAATACGAGGAAGGGTCATTGTTGGGCAAAGACAAAACATGCTGGAGAACACCAATCAGCAGTTGGTGGCGATGGCTTGTACGCTGCTCATATTGCCTATGTTTATGTGACGAACAAGGCCCCAAATCCGATAGATACATCAGCTTGAGGCCCGTTTTATCAAATATAGCCAGAAATAGGTATAATCGCATTTAAAATTTTGAAATTTCAAAAACTCAGCTAACTTCCAGAGTGGTTACTGGATTGAGATTCATCAAGCGCAACAGAGTGATTCACTTCCAAATACAAGAAGGCCAGTTACGACCATATGGATACATAGACAACAATACCATCAGATGGGTTCCAGTTGACGACTATAAAATAACCGAGAAAGGCATTTACAATAATGAGGACTACTTCACTATGTCTAATGCGCAAAGAAGTTTAGTTTTAGATGAAGTTACTGTTAATGACAAAGATCCGCAAGTGAACCAAGTGGTGACAGGTTAGGTACCACACTACTAAGGTGTTTTTCTAATACAGCAAAAACACATGGTTATTCATTGGGATGTGTCAACAAATAATTGCTATTTAGGTCCTCTTATGAATTGTTTCAGGTATTCGATTTCAGTTCACGGAAGGAAAACTGCGGGTTCAAGTGCGCAAAAATAAATTCAACTGGGAAACGGGTCTTATATCAACGTCTGATGGAAAATATGTAAGCAAAGCAAAAGAAGGAATGTACGTGCACCAATTACGTAAAAAACCATCAAATTTATCACCAAAAATAAACTTCTAGGTCCAAAGTCGATTTGAGCAACGCAGATATTCCAATCAACTTGGTCAGTTCAAAATTGTACTGGGAACAAGACGGTTACGTGGAATTCACGCACACAGATTTCAACCTAGATGCAGCGCAAACGACCATCCCTTTCATTGATATACAACCTGTGATTAACGATCCACCAGTACCGCTAAACGGGGTGGGCATTTACTACAAGGGCAATAAGGGACTTGGAGGATTTGTAGCTCCAAAGATTCTCACCTACGACTACAGTAAATTTATATTAGTGCGATTTCCGATAGCGGATGTTAGACACGAAGCGGAAAGCTTGGCATCTATATAATCCGCCAATGAGCGTTTAATAGCGCAAAATAAATATAAAATTTGTAGTAAAATGTTTTCACTTACCTGCAGTTTGAGCGGGTGCACAATTAGCAAGGTGAGCATGAAGTCATTTGCCGGTAGAATTTCTTCTATCCGAATTCCCTGTCGGGCTACACCCTGGCATAAGAATGTTGCTAAATATCGGTGTAAAGGGAGATGAAACGTGATTTGCTGACTATCTTCCTAAAATTGCAAAATAATTGCCTAAGAGATGGAACGACGTAACATTAAAAAATGTAAGCACTTACAGGAATAAGTCCTTTGAAGTCCATGGCTTTGATCCATTCGTACCATTCACGTATACAAGCATTAAGTACTCGTCTTGTCAAATGCGCAGTTGTATGATCGGTGAGATGTGTTACCAATGCCCACATGGGATAAGCGCTCGCCTCCAACTCAGCGCTGAATGCGGCATAGTAACTGTTTGGCTCGAATTCCACATGGGGACCTACTAATTTTTGGTTGAGGTTCATCCCTACGAAAAGTAAGAGAAATATTTATTATCACGGAAAGTGTCTGAGGCTTCAAGGTATTTACCCTGATACATGGACAGGAAACTGAACCACATCTCCAAAAGGGTGTCGTCCGACATGAATTTTAGGGCTATGGGCCTATGGGATAACACGTTGTTGAGATCAGATACAAGTGGCCAATAACAATGGTCTTTCATCACAGAAGTGGTACAGTCAACAACATAGTGGCAATTTCGTGTTGGATCTGAAAACAAAATGCGCTTTGTAGAATTTGCATCAAAAATCAATTGAAGAGTTGTAAGAATGCCGAAGAATTAATTAACAATTATCTAACAAAATCAAGTTCCTACTGTGAGATGTATCCGGTATGAGTATTTTATTCATCATATTTTTCAAGCTGACAACCATTACATGGAGGAGATTGAGTTGCTCGGTCATTCGCATGGCTAGGCCTTCATTGCTAAAAAGCTGGACGCTGACATGCACGATCCGGTTACTGAGCGTATCTGGATCAGGACTTTTCTCCAGTATTATACTTATTCGACTAAAGTGAAGAACAAAAGCTCTAGTCAAAGCTTCTTTAAAATCGGTGTCTGGCAGCATATTTAACAAAAGGCACACAACCTGGAACGAACAAATGAAGCAGTTACAATCAAAACGTATTGAATTAAATTCAATTAAACTGAGTACTTTTGATATGAATACCCAAAACAAGTTTAAAGCGATTACTGGGTAATAGTAAATGGATGATTCCAAAACGTGAATTAAATCCTAGGCTCACCTTTTGAGGAAATTCAAATTTAACAGTCCAAAATACGAGCTCCTCTAAAAACGTTGTATGTACCAGATTTTTTTGTAAGGCCGGATAATCTTTAAGATCTTCATAAATATCCAGATCAACATTTGGTAATGACCTTACAGCCTCTTCGTAGACTCGCTTTGACTCAATCAGATACTGAGCGTACTCTGAATCCACATTTTCCGGTATTTCGTTCAAGGCTTTATATTTCTAGAAGGACAAATTGAATAGATTGGCACACATCCGTATGTAAGGCTGTCTTGTCATACTTACAGTCGGGTTTGTTAGTGCTGTGGCCATAACTCGTCGCATCAAACCGCCCATGTTGTTAAAGTCTAATAGCATGGTCAGAAATGCATCTGCATCTTGAACGGCGATTTTAAGACTGTCGGGTCCGCTGAATTCCCGTAAATGTTGTACTAACCGAAGGATAATCCTTGGCATCATGGCTTCAGCTACACACATTAGGTCTGAAGGGGCTGAGCCTTTGATTCGAATTTTTCCAGGCCCATGACTATCACAAAACCTAAAACAGCCAAAGCACTGAAACAAGGTTGCATATATTTGTCAGACTACTTACCCAGTTGCTTTCATTACGGATGTATCACCACAATCACAAGCACCTCCCGCTTGTGATAAAAACATGTTAAAATCATGGTCGTAATGGTTTCCTTTTTTGAAACAGTCTGTGCAAAGCGACATACATGGTGATATACCGCAGGTACGACATCGGTAAGCAATAAAATTTGGGGTCCAAACTAGACCACATGTCGTTGCATAATCGTAGTCCCGAACTGCAATAAAAAAAGCATATAATTAGTTGTACTAACGATATTTGCCTAAGAATAAATGTGCAAGTATAAGGAATCGCGTGAATTCTGGACGCGGCATAAGACGTTACCAGAAATTTGTTATCTTCCGTTAAGTCAAAACGTTAAACGCATAGAAGAACAACATGGAAAAAATTAATACATATTCGTGGCTAAGATCTTACAAGAATGGTGGAGTTTTGGGTCAATGGTTTGCAAAAATTGCCCCTTTAAACTTCCAGGAATCTATTGAAAATAGCGGCCGCAACAGCTTTGTGTGTCAGTACAGAATTTCAATAATTATTGAGGTTTTCTGCCACTTTTCGGCCAACGGAGTGATTGCAACCGGTTAAGATGCAAATATAATTCAATTAGGCCTTTTTGATCTATAAACTAGTCTATCCAATTTTTAGTTCTACATAAAATTAATTAAAAATCGATGAATTAACGAACACCGTCCTTAGCAAACATTTAGAGCACCGGTCACGGTCATCCAGATGTTTTGCGCTAGAATACGCCAAGTGTATCACTCGGTGGGTTTCTGCAAGTTAAAGCGATAATCGAATTAAATTCGATTTCTGCAAGCTTATAAGTTTAGGAGCTGAATCAATAAATTGATCGATGATTATCATTCCTCAGCTTCCCTAAATCAACATTGCAATCTGAGCTAAAAAAAAGTTGCATTGAATGGGTTTAGTGCACAAACTGTTCTCAGTCACTTTCAAGGCATTCCCCCGGAAAAACAAAGATCCAAGAAGAAAAATTCCACCGTCAGGGTCACCAGCGCTTATCACAGCGCAACTCTTATAATCGAGCCATCGAGTTCTTGTTTGTATCTGATATCCCCAGGTATATTAATTGCATAATTGAAAAAAACCATTGCATCAACTAGATTATATGACGTAATGTGTGTGATGGAATAACAACATGTTGAATTTTATGCCATACAGTTGGACGCACTATGTATGTAAATCCTTGTGCGAGTATTGTTACGATTTCTTGATCGAAGGTGAAGTAATTGTGCCAAAGGCTTAAAAAAGTGCGTCTAGCAAACAGTAAATTTGCACTTACAGAATTGTCAATAGTTTATTAAAATATAAGTATCCGGAAATTAGTGTGCAATATTTGAAGAAAACGGGATTTTTGCGCATATAAAGAGGCTGAGAATGCAGTGGCATAAAATTTGACTGGCAATCATTTTTATTCCAACGTTTTGCATAATTTCCTGAACGCCTCTCAATGTTGGGCAAAAATCTCCACTTGGCCGAATTGGCCCAGATCAACGGTTTTCAAGAAATCGGCTGGGAAAAAGTAGTACTTTAATGTAGTGTTTCTTATTAACGTTCTGTTTCGAATCAAGTCAAAACGTTGAATTCGACGACATGCATAACGTAGTGGAATAAACAAACTAATTAAATAACAGTACGTGATAAAGGCAATAAAACAGTGAAGTTCTGCCAAAAGAGCAGAACATGAATGAACATGCAGCATAAGAGAGTAAAACTGAAGGTGAACTGAATAGTATCGGGATGATCGCCAATTTATTCCAGCTGGCAGTCAGTGCCGCTCGGGTTATGTAATTAAGCATAATTCAAACCGGTTGCCACCACATAATTAAAAATGTTACCGGCAAAATGAGCGTAATTAGTTCGGTTAAGAGCGCCACTGAATTGCTACTTCTACTTCCCCCTTGGACGTTTATTTTCTGAGCTGAACACAAGTAGGTAAACCATTCATAGGAATTTCCAAATCGAAACGAAATTTGCCGAGCGTCAGATCGCCACCCAGGTCATTTCTGAAGATGTCGGTCAATCATGCAAGTAAAACGTCCGGATATTTTTACAATTCACTTAAGCAGATGGACAGTTTCATAATCCTGGCAATATTGGATGCAAGCTCAAGAAGGAATAGAGGGGTTTAAAAAATGGACAAAACCTTCCATTCCACACAGATGGTAGTGAATGGATTGTCAATTGGTATCGATCGCATTCAGCCCATTAAAAACACGACCTAAACCAAATTATACGTGGTGGGTTTTTGATGGCAGCTGAATTCGGAGTAAAACAAAACCGAACCGACGCGATGATAATACGAATCGATTTAATGTGAACCTCTCATCATATGGCCCAGGTACTGGCACCAAGTTTGTTTACCCTGCATAAGCAAAGTGTTTTTTGGCAAGGTCATTGTCCTGCTTGATGAAAGGAAAAGGCTACTGCTGCACATTTTTCAATTCTGATGGTGTAGCCAGGTAGGAACTATCAGTGACTGAATTTGCTTTGTGGCAGTGTACAGTCTAGAGAGAGTTTTGCAGAAACTATTGAAGCAAAGGCAAAATTTACCTGCTCAACTTCTAGATTTTCAGGATATTCAAACGCTGCAAAGGCGTGAATTACCTTTAACACCTAAATAAATCCATCCTATACGTATATTTGTTAAATTTCTTCCTGTTCCATTTCATAAACCCTAGCCCAAGAAGGCCTGATTTCGGATACCCTAATAAAAGCAGACTCACATCGATGCGATTGGGTTCCACATCTCGTGGTTGAAGAAGAAGAAAGGATTTCGAAACTAGACCGGCCACTTTCCCTATTTAAGCACTTCAGATCGGATTGAATATAACCGCGCAGGCAGGTAAAATTTCGGCAAAAAATCTAGATTTCCGTATCTCATGGTGGATTAAATTACATATTCTATGCCCGAAGGGCACATAAAGAGGGCCAGGTATGCAATTGCCAAAAAAAAACAACAGCTGGAGATAATTGGAGAGGAAGACTTCTGCTTTCTATACTATTCGAAATGCAACAGTTTACCATCTGGATTAATTCGGATAAAGTAGAAAAAATCGAAATACAGATAATATAATAATAATCGAAAATGATTAATAAGGTTTGGGTTAAACCATATTCAGCTTAAGCCTATGAAAGAAAAACAACAAAGATCTCCGCTGATCCGTTCTAATGGTCAAGAAAAATACAATTTTCATTCAGCAATGCATCATAACAATGATAAGCATCAGCAGATAGGCCAGAACAATAAAGATGCATTTTATATAAAGAACCGTTTTATGAGGCAATCAATTAAAAGGCTGATTATAAATAAGAAGGAAGCTGAAACTAAAAAATAATTAATAGTTTGTAGGAAATGGTTTATTCAAGGAACAAGTTCCATAAAATCAGTGTTTAAATTCGTTGGCAGGCTCTTGAGTGGAACAATGAACCAGTGGGTAGTATAAATTTAGTGAGCTAATCGAAATTCAATTAAAAATCTAGTTACTTTGCATTAGAAGCTTCAATGGCTAAGTTTTCCTATATATCAAGGCCCTGAAATGCAGAATCTTTGCCATCCACCCTGTTAAAAACTTGTTATTTATTTTGGGGAATTTTTTGAATAGCGTTATGCTGTAAACACATAAATAAGTGATGATTGTATGGCCAACCGTTTATAAAGCTGAGAGAAGGGGAGAGAAAGTTTCAAAGATGATTTTACACATGACTAATGAAAGTAAAATTGACACTAAAAAATAGCCGAAATGCGGTAAAACTTATATTATACAGCTTAAATTTCGTTTTAGAGGAACATTTTCTATGGTCAAAAAATTGTGGAAAGTTAATCCTACTGTACAGGTAGAACTTCTGTGTTCTAGTTGAAAACCCTTGACAAAGCGCGGAAAAGGTAATAAAATCCATAAAAATGCGTTAACAAATATAAAGCCAGTAACGCTATACCTAAAAAAAATATATTTTGCTGATCTTTGAAAATGTGCACCGCTTTTGAGTAGAATCGGTGTTAACATAGTGCAAATATATTTGACCATTTAGTAGAAAGTGGTTGGGCTTTTAATCTTCTACCTGCAAAATTCCGACCATAGGGTGACTCTAGAAGGTGGCTACAGTTGCCAGTTTGTACTTCAGATGTACCCAATGACCCAGAATTGCATAAGAGGTGTAAATAATTAGTTTCATGGAGAGAATGGTTACGTTCTTTCCAGAAATGTATCCGCCTACCCGACGACCTTTACATTGAAAGGCCCAAATAGTTCCTTGTTCATGTCCTTAGTCAAATGTAAGTTATTAAGGCAAAATAAGGCGAGTAGTATAATTGTACGGTTGACCAAAGGGTGAGATTCAACCCACGATTGGAGGCCAGTTTGGGTATTATAAAAGCTGGTTTAACACACTGTTGAGAAAACCAATTTATTTAGATGTTAGGTCCCTTTTCACCACTAATATAGAATGAAGGACGAGTTCTGGAAATAAGCATGATCGCACCCTGCACATGTCGACAAGACTCGATCCCCAAACACACAATGCCTCAAAAATCTCAATACTTGCTCAAATAACTTGGCTGACAAATCACATTTGGCTGATTTGAATTTTCAACTTAAAAAGTTAGTAGATCTACAGAATTTCATTGATTTAACTGGGATAGTTTCTGAAATAATACTTTAAATCCTTCTTTAACGCCCCAACATTGGAGGGCTGTTAATAAGCATTTCAGGAGACCTCTTTAAAGATTTTCTTTTCATAATCGAACAATTCGATTCTTCCCATCAGTAGGCCAACCTGGTATTCATCAGGAAATATCTTTCAAACAAACATCACGAGTTTTAGCGCAGATAAGATTGAGATAAAAAAAAAACAGCAATCGGTCACCTACTTCGTTATCTTTATATCCAATTTAGAAGAAAAACATATAAACTGATTGGGTCATTGTTAATAAATACGATGTTTTAGCATATTAAAACATGTGCCTTCATTGATACCAATTCGTTGGTTATTTTTGAGTAGATGAAAGATAACAATGTCGATAGATTTAGAAGATTTTCAAAATCTCAGCTAAAATGGATTGCAGAGGGTTGGGAAAATACGCATTGAAGCAAACAGTTGACTTACAATAAACAATTAAAAAAACAAGTGTCTTAACATTGATAAGACTGGCCAAAGTGCGCAGTTCTCATCAATTTGAGGTGGCAAATGATTGAAAAACTCTGGCCCTAAAGGTGTTCTAACCCGTCAGAGAGTGCTATCAACGTCTTCATTTTATAGGTACCTAATATGTTTAGGAGTGAATTCCTACTGTGAATACTCACACCACCAGGTATTATGCAATAAAATTGAAATATGCCTTGAATATAATCAAGGTCCCGCAGGGGTAATTTATTTCCATGGTGAAACTGCAGGGAAATAAGGCAAGCCATTTAACGCAGCCCCCAGAGCTAGTGGTTGATTAGGATATTAATTTTGGAAGTGACTCAGTTTGTCTATTGAAACCGAATGAAGGCCACTGGCAAGGTTAACCCAGGACAAACTGATGGTCACTTTTGTAGCTCACCTGTTTTTGCAAATTCATCAGGCGTTCGCCCCCCAGCCATGAGCCATTTACACCAGTCGATTGTTTCCCACTCATCGATACGTTTCACGGGATTCAGCAGGTTGTCCAGGACTTCCTTCAGGTGCTCAGGATTCCGGTCGGTGGCACAGTCCGCATGAATGTAAGCCGCAGTAGCCCTTTTGCCCTTGGACATGAGCACCTTTGGCTCGAAATTTGAAGTCGAGGCCATTTTTCTGTTAAAATGGCATGTCACTGCAAAAATCACTCAAAAATCCGCGTCAAACTGACGCACGAGACAAAACACTGTACACGAAGATCCGCACGAATGTTCAGCCTCAAGTCATAGAACTTTCAAAGGTAAAGGCTAAAATAGTCTTTACCTGCTGCTTCTACACAGCCACGGATCTGCAGTAAAGTTGACAAACAAGCCTAAACAGGACGAGCACGCAGGATTCAAGCGAACCTGAGTGAACCTTTCAAACACAACACAACAAGCCGTCACGAATCCACAGATTACTCATCAATGCTACTCACTACTGCACGAATCGAATCAGAATGGCGAACCTGGGCGAAATAGCGAAGACAAGTGACACTCGTCTTTATCTATGATGGCACCACAGAGAAGAGCCACAGAATGTGTGGAGACTGTGAAGGTGAAGAGATCTGTGGCATGACACAAACCATAGACCATCCATAGACAGATAACCACATAGAGACAGACACTAGAGTAAATTAAAAATGAAACAGAATGAATCAGTTCTATTTTTTCTATGGCACAACCGCGAATCGATAGTGGCTCCAAGTCGGTTGTGTGTGGTGCGGTAAGATTTTCTTATCGATACGTCTTAATTTATCGACATATTTTCGATCTAGTTTTTAGTCCGACGACGCACACGAAAAGATTCAGCTACTTGTTCACTCTAATCCAGCCGTCCATTTATTTGAATTATTTTTTTTAAATTTATTAATATAACTATTTAATAAATAATTCTAAAAAAATTGCCAAAAAAAGTTAAGCCGGTTTTTTAATTCGATGATTTTCTAATTTATCAGGATATCGCGTTCAGCAATGTGCTCCACAGAACATCCCCCCGGGGACTCCCCTTAAAGCCAGACTTGTAAAATCACAGGACTTAAGCTCGTGAAATTTTTTCAAATTTGGCGCCTTGTTTGCTTAGATTGGCTACACTTTGTTGGGAACATTTCGTTTTCATCTATGCGAATAATGCCGGGGTTACAGTTTATAGTGCTTGTCACTGCTTGTCACACTCAAAAGTCAATTTCCGCGTGGGTATAACATATCCATCGTTTTGGCTCTCGTTTAATCATTTTTTTGCAAAGCCAAGAAAATGTCTTCCGATAATGAAAATCCGGAAAACAGCGCTGAAAGTGAAGGCGAAGATGCCGAAGTGAAGAATACAGAAGAAACCGAACAAACCCCTGATCCTATCGAAGAAGCTCCAGTCACATGGAGCGATTTGGTAAGTTGTGCCCCAAAAACCTCTGGTTAATTATTCAAATAGTCATAATATATTATCAGGGCCTTGTAGATGTACTATGCAAAGCGTGTGAGCAGTTGAAATGGAAAACGCCGTCAAAAATCCAAAGGGAGTCGATTCCTGTTGCTTTGCAAGGCAAGGATATTATTGGATTAGCTGAAACTGGGTCTGGAAAAACAGCTGCGTTCGCTTTGCCAATTTTGCAGGCATTACTGGAGAATCCACAAAGGCATTTTGCTTTGATATTAACGCCAACGCGAGAACTGGCCTTTCAAATATCCGAACAGTTCGAAGCACTTGGTAAATTACAACTTTGGCTAGTTTTGAGATATTCAAATATAACACTTGGAGCTTTTAGGATCTGGCATAGGAGTGAAAAGCATTGTAATAGTTGGTGGATTGGACATGACTTCACAAGCCTTAATGTTGGCCAAAAAACCGCACATTATAATTGCTACTCCCGGTAGACTCGTTGACCATCTATCAAACACTAAAGGATTCAATTTGAGGTAATTATTTTTCATTTTTATGTGTTTTTGACAGAATAGAACATATAGGCAATCAAATCAAACATGATGTATAACACAGTCTTTGACTATTTTCATGAAATATTGAATACTAATTCGTCACTACCTCTGATAAACACAATCTACTTTGTTTGAGAATTTTAAAAAAGTGTCGGTATTTTTAACCCGTTTACGTTGATTGCAGAGCATTGAAATTCCTGGTGATGGACGAAGCAGATAGGATATTAAATATGGACTTCGAGGCGGAAGTAGATAAAATTCTGAAAGTGATTCCAAGAGAACGAAGAACCTTCTTATTTTCTGCCACTATGACGAAGAAAGTGAACAAACTACAAAGGGCTTGCTTGCAAGACCCCGTTCGTGTTGAAGTATCCACAAAGTACCAAACAGTAGAAAAGCTGCTGCAGTACTACGTCTTCATTCCTGCTAAATTTAAGGTAAGTGTGAGCGATATGTTTGAGTATTTAAGTAAACTTTGATTTTTGAAATTTTAGGATGTTTATTTGGTGCACATACTGAACGAGAACGCAGGAAACAGTTTTATGGTGTTTTGTTCCACATGCAATAACACAATAAGAACAGCGCTACTTTTGCGAAACTTGGGCTTTACTGCTGTTCCCCTGCACGGGCAAATGTCGCAAAATAAACGGCTGGCCGCTTTAACAAAATTTAAGGCCAAAAACCGATCCATTTTGATATCAACTGATGTGGCTAGCAGGTATGTTTCGATTCTATCAGTGCTTTTGGTCTTGATTCATATTATCAATGATGTAAATTCTAAATGCGTTTGATAACCCATGAAAGTTAATCAATTTCGTCACTACCTCTGAGTTTTTTCTACTGCTCTTATTTTCCTTCCCGGGGTTGAGTCTTGAAGTTTACACATGTTATTTTGATTTCAGAGGTTTAGATATCCCACACGTTGATATAGTGATCAATTTCGACATTCCAATGCATAGCAAGGATTACATTCATCGAGTCGGCAGGACTGCCAGAGCAGGCAGATCAGGAAAAGCCATTACGTTTGTTACACAGGTGAGTTTTGTGGTTCTAATTCCAAAGTCAATTGTTGCGGTTCTTTATTTGAGCAAAAATCTCTTGAGATTGTAAAACTTCCATGATGATCACCAGTTTGATTGACCAAAAAAATGATACAAATATTTGTTTCGTCACTACCGCTGAGAAGTTTTTGAGAAACTTCATTATTTACCCATTTCTTAACGGGCACCTAAAACAAAATCAAAACCTTAGTACGATGTCGAGCTCTATCAAAGGATAGAACATCTAATCGGCAAGCAGCTTCCACTCTATAAAACCGAAGAAGAGGAAGTGATGGGGCTGCAGGAGCGCGTGGAGGAGTCCCAGAGGATAGCCAAAACGGAGCTGCGGGACCTAACGGAAAAGAAAGGGAATAAAAAGCGGAAAGGCGGCGGCGATGACGATGATACCGAAGAAGCCACCGGAGTGAGGAAGAAAATCAAGGGCGGCAAGAAGAAGGGAAGGAAATGAGCCATGCAGTGCACTTGCAGATGAATCTGTTGTATAATATCAGTTGAAAATATTTTTTTTGTAAGTATCATGGAGTTTTATTCTTGATTTTTTTAAGGAAATGGCGGAGAAATGTATTTTGCGACCAACCGATTGGCCCAAATGCCAATTGTGGACCTTTAATAATCGCTTGGTTCTTGTTTGACCAAATTATTGAAAACGTTTATTAATACATAACATACAGATATAAGGAGAAGCAATAAATAGAAAGGCGACTAACTACATTTACATTATTTTGGTAACACAATCAACCCCAGCAAAACGAAAGGTTCAATGTTTTCAACTGATTTTAAATGAAACACCGGTGTTTTTACCTCATACGTAATATCTGAGAAACATTTAACCTTCTACGGATCGAGCGAATCTATAAAAACACAATCAGAACGTTCTAACTGATAGACATCGTGTGAGTCCACACTAAAATCGTCTGCCGATTTCAACAGCAATCGCGGATCTGAGTAAAGATGCTGTTCGACTGAAAACTGCAAATTATGATGGCTGGCCTTTTTGAAGTGAAGATAGTCGTGCGAGTGGAAGGAAAGGAGTCGAAAATCTTCTTGACTTGGCTCAGTTTTCCTATTTTCCACTTCCAGTGAATCTGGTGTAATACTTGGTACGTTAGAGTGGTAGTCTACCAGAGGAGTGGGCCTAAGAAAATATCCCGGACATTGAGTCGTGTGAGCATTCTTACAAAGCACTTACGGCCTGGAATCGCGGGCATTACGGCAATCGGATGGTTTCAGTATTGGTCCGAAGAACCTTGTCGCTTCCAGAGCATTGTCGTCTTTCTTTGGAAGGTTCGGGAGCGATCGATGCGGCCTGGGAATATCGTAATCTGGGTCTGAAGGTCTTCGACTTTGGGCCATTTTTTGAATCTGAACAATTAACAGCAGCTGAGTGGTTGTTTTAGGTGCTGAAGATTTAACTAGCTACCTCTTTTTGGGATATTTCCGGATTTATCAGACTGCTGGTAACTCCCGGAGTCATAATCGGCGCCGTGGTCACCTTAGCTAATTCATCCAAGAGTTTATCCAGATCGGGGGTATCGCGTGAAAATTCTCCTGGTCTATATTTCGACATGCGTTGCTTTTGCCGCAGCTCCACGCCTTCCTCTTTCCCAATGCTAAACCTCTTGATCAGCTCTTTGACTTTACACTGCCCTACAATTTTGAACTAGTATTTCCAATTAATAAAAATTAATTAAGTACCTTCATCCCCGTCCAGCTTATCAGGCTTCTGTACATTATCAGCTTGCACACTTAAATCGCTGAGAATGGCGTCTAAACACCCAACAGCTTCAACTGTTCGTTTCATTTTGGGTGGCAGCGATGGCAGTTTTGTATCTTCTTTAACTGAAGGTAGTTTGGGGTTTCTTGGTGGCAACGTCGGGCCGTTTATTGGTGGTTCTTGATGGGTGTTTGGAGGCGAATCACTAGTTCCATGGTGTTCTTTAGAAGGTTCTGCACAATTTTGTGGATCTGGTTTAGTTTTCTCATCACTTTCAGTTATTTGTGTGGCGTTCGGCAACTGTGGAAGCAGTGATTTAAGTAAAATACGTCTGTCTCAATAGCTCCTATTGATAATTGAATATTTGCAATTTTATGCCGATTAGGCTTTTACCTGTTCCACCGAGGTTTTCAGTAAATGGTGCAACTGATTCAGAGTCTTAATGGCTTCAGCTTCAGTCAATGAGAGTTTCTTAGCGATATTTATGGAGGACAATAAGTCCTTCATTGGCTTGGTTTTGCGCTTCTTGCTCCACACTCGGTGCAGAAAACTTTCGGATCTCTTTACTTTTTTCGGTTTTTCCTTCAAACTTTTTGCCTTTCGGTTGAAGCAAAACCTTCGCTTTTCTTTATCTGGGCAACAGAACAATTCATTATTCTGGAAAACTTTCAGTATCGAATTTACCTTCATAAAACCCCTGATTTCCAGTTAAAGTTTCCATTTGCTCTGTGCGGGTTTTCATCAAATTGCTGTTGCTTGTACTGGTTTTAATATCTGCTTCCACATATATATTTTCTTCACTTGGAATTTGCTTAGTTTCTGGTTGATTTTCGGTTCGTGGCTGTATGTTATCATTAAAATCAATGGCTTCGTAACCATATTCGTTACAATCACTAATTTCTTGRTAGTCGCTTCTGGTCCAGTAAATGGAATTATCTGAGAGCAGGGTGGTTCTCTTGCTTTGAAAGTCAGAGTTTGCCGTAGGTAAATCACTAAAAAACGTGGAAAATTAATAAATAGGAATTAATAATTATGTAATTTAATATAAATTAAATAAATAAATAACAGATTAAAAAATAAATTCTTTGCCCAACTTACTTCTTAATGAAAACTGCATCAGAAAAGTTGGGTATTCTTTCGTAAATTTGCTCTATGCTACTATCAGGGCTTTCGATGCTGCATGCACGTCTTAGACGGGGTTCTTTGCGCAAAATTTCGTTTTCCACTATAACAGATTCAGATTTTTGCAGTCGACATCTGGGTTTGTTGCTGTTTGAGGGTATGTGCTCATCTGATAAAGAAATAGGACGCTGAAGGCCTGTTTTGGGTTTTTGCAGCTTCGCACTTATACCTGAAATGAAACAGATATTTTTGTCGGTTCTTTGGGAAAAAACCCAGAAGACTTAGAGGGATGTTGAACGTTTCTGATAATAGACTAAAATACGAATATACTTTATGTGATAACCTATTAGCCTTACCGTAAGTTTTAGCGCCCAATTTTTGCAGCTTTTGCACAATTCTCAAAGTAGAATCGACAGATCCGCTGATTTCATTGGGGCATGGCGAATTGTGCATTTTCGATTTCAGCGCCTTGTTTAACGGAGGTGATAAATCGCCGGTTGAGTACCGAAAATGATTCAGTCTCTTGAACTCATTTTTCTGATTTAAGGCAGTCATCAAAGCATGCATCCATTTGTGCTGTTCCTCTTTGCTGTCTGCCCTCTAGAATTAATTGAATTAAGTTTAGTTCCCATTTATTTTAAAAACTCACCAAAGTAACTGTGGTAGTTTTGCTTTCAATTTGAAAAACTCCCGGATTTGAGCCGCCAGGTTTCACATTGGATGTATGCCCCAGGCTGATGAATCCTTTGCAAGGGGATATCGCTTTTTCGTATTCGTCCTTCGACTTGTAGTATAATAAAAGTCTGCCTTCCAGGACAAACCAGTATTTCTTGTAACAACTGATCATTCTCTGAAAGGAAATCGTTGCATCGCCCAACTCACTGGCTTTGGTATATTTACCTTTCGTCCCTTTTTTTCTAGATATCCAGACACTTTTGGCAAAATCTCCTGATATTCGTTGTCCATTTTGAAGCCTTTTTCACTGTCTCCGCACAATCGCGGCTTTTTCGATTGGTTGAATCACTGAAATTTTGCAATATCATTATTACATTCAAATCGAACAAAATATATAGCAGTTTCTCCATAATGTGTAATAATAAGCTTATTATGAAATCCATGGCATGCCACTAAAGATACAGTGGAATTCATTATTTTGTTGTTTCATTTGAAAATCTGCTATTTCCATACGATTAGCATTTAGTAGGCTTAAGATTTTTCAGTTTGATGAGTTGTTATATATGATTTGTTCCTGATGTGTAACGAAATATTAGAAAGTTACTAAATGCTTCATATGGAATTTTAGGGCTTTTTGCGCAAAATGATGCAAATTTTTAACTAAGAAGGCAAGAAAAATATATTGAAACTTCAAGATTTTCCAACTTCCGTAGCTTGATGGATATGAATCTACGAAAGCATTCACGTATTTAATTACTTTCTGTTACTTTGCCGGAATTAGTTCCATTTACTTTTACTTTTTACCTGCTGTCTTAACAAGTGTAATAAAAACCATTAACAAGCTCAGGCCGAAATGACCATTAATTTCTCTTATAATGAAACAGTATTGCACGGTGGATGGACTACAAAGCACACATCAATTCAGTGGGATGTTAATAATAATTAACAACAATCGCACATGTTGCTGAATTTGTCCGAACTTTCGACTGTGCTTTTGTTGTATTTGCCTACTTTTATGGATTCGTCTAATGATTATTAAAAAGCGCTGACTTGCTGAATTTTAAGCGAAAAATTGTTTCAGTAAAAGTACATCAAAGTGAGTTTTTGCAGGACTCTAATGGTAACCACTACAAAACTCTCTCTTTCAACTTAATTACCTACGTGAGACAATTCGACCGGTAAAGGCACGTACCTACACATAAGGAGAAAATTCCAAACCAAGTCATTTCTTACTCCAAATGCATTTAAAATGGAGCCTTAATTTTGGGCCGATGAATTATTCAGTTGAGTCACGGCCAATATAATTTGGAATTCGCACAATTCATAAATTTTTTTGCCAAAGTCATATGAGTGTTCAATGTAAATATCGAGCGAAGAGCTACTTGTGCTTAAAACGCGAAAAATTTCTTCCTGAATTCTAGTTGCACCGAAAAACCGCTTCTGAAGGTGCAAGCCACTTGTGCTTGCTTGCGAAACGCCAGAAAAAAAGTATTTTTCTCGATGCCCTAATAGGTCCCAAAACGGTTTTTGTGTGGCTCAATGTGAGTGAAGCACTTGAACGCATAATATAAAATAAGCAACCAAATCACCAGCTACTTAAGCCCTATGAAGGATTATATTAGAAAATTATCGACGTAGGCGATTTCCGTAGTCGATAAATTTTGATTAAAATCCAGCGCAACCGAAGAGCGTTTCCTGCACATGTATTAGCTGATTAAACCAAGTGGAGCACCCTTTATGTGTGCCAAGGTCTTTAAACAAAAACGCAAATTAATTTTGAAAAAAAAACCACTAAACTAAACACTTTTTTAATTAGTTTCAATGTCTTCAATTATTCGGCAGTTTTATTGGACAACTTAACAAAAACATCTGCTTTCCAATACAGGGTGATTCAAAATAGCGCCTTAATCTGGTTGGGTTAAGAAGGCACTGAAAAAAGCGAAATAAATCAATTGTTGCTCAAAACTGAGATATTGAGGAAAAATTAGGCAACCGTTACTTTCGCACCTGCAAAAGGAGGTCAACCAAATGCATATTATGTAGGTAAATACGTTTGGCTTGATAGGAAATTTTGCGAAACACGATTGTTATTCAGTCGATGTCCATGTCCACATCCAAACTAATTTTGACACAATTAAGTGTTTTTCATACAAAATCCTAAAATGTTATTTTCATAAATAAACCTATTTTAATTGATTCGATTCAGTAGGAAAATGCGCCTTCTTGAGTAGTCTTGACGCAATAAATTTGATGCAAACACAGAACATACATTTGCAACGCAATGCGAAAAAATTAAATTACCTGCCTTAGCAGCAATGCAATGAAAATAGATAATAACAGCTATGCTAATTTGAATGTTGCGTTGCAGAAGTTAAATATCCACATCTGACCAGGTTCGCTACACTTTCTTTTCCTATCGATATATTCACGGTTGCGGATTGCAAATTGGCAATTATATGAACTTTTACTTATTTGTTTTATCCAGAACGCGTTCAATTACACTAAAGGCGGTAATTGCAGATTTGAATTGTAGATCTTTATCTAGATATCAAAAGCGCAATATTAATTGTGCGAATTCAGGCTAAAGCTACAGACAGTGAATTACATAATGATTCTTATGGAGTATTAAAAGATCCAATCAATCCGAAGGAACAGTCAAACATGCAAAATGCGCATTTTAAAACCATCTATCGCCACTCATTTTTTTTCGTATAAGCAGATATTGCGATAATCTCGTTTGTTAGTTGGTTCTAGATTGCTTTTCTCTTTCAAAACAGTAGAACAAGCGATGTAATAACCGATTACAGTGTGAAAATTATTATTTAGACGCTTTCTGAAATTGCTGTTTGTGTCAAGATTGTTTTATCATCGGTTATTATATGCTTAATAAAGATTTCCGTATTAGTTAATTGTTCAAACGCGAGGTGCTCGTTCAGCTGAGAACTCGTTCCGGTAGCCGACATTTTTATTAGAGACACTTGCTGGTAATTACTCCAACAATAATGGTACTTTAATTATCTGCAGCAACACGTGAATGCAAAGCGTAAACATTACCAACAGTTTAAACTATATTTACGACGTTCTTCCCTCGGTTTATGCTTGGATTTGAGATGTCATTCACAGTCGCTTGATTATTCTAATTGTTTCATAGTCTTTATTGTTCAAAGTCAACAACTCCATGGCCGAATTATGGCTTGGGTTCAATCAATTATTTGTTATCGTGTGTGTGTATTTTTGCATTTTTTGCAAGCTGGAAATTTTATTAATTTTTCAACACCTTTCACATTTTGAAAGAAGTCGATGGGTTAAAGCTGCGGAAAAAATGCTTCTCTAAAAGACTTTCGTCAAAAGTGCGAATATATTTATTCAATTTGAGTGCTCTTAACTTTTCCTTCTTCTCACAGCAGATTTTCAAGGATTTCGCTACCTTTTCATTTTAATTCTATCTTTTCTTCCTATGAATATTTACAAAATCTCTTCACATTAACTAAATTCAAGACCACTTCCATGGTGTCATTGTCAATAATTTTCAACAAATCAGCAATAGACCAAAACAGAATTTCCCACACACAATAATGCTATTGTTTTTATGCTGAACTCGACACTGGTAAAGTAAAAAATCGCAAAAAAATGCAAACAACCGATACTATTCTACTACTCAATAACGCCGTGGGCGCTGGACTAAATGCAGCGAAATCTTCACTTAAACCACGGCTGTATTTTAGCAGGACCAGGGGAAAGTGGAGTGTTGCGCGGGTGTTCGGAGGAGCGCATAAAGCACGCGAGTGTGGACCATATTAAATAATAATTAATTCAGCTGTAGCATGAGTTGGTTCTTCTACTGGTCGACTTTACTTGCTTGCTTGCAGTTTTTTTTTATTTATTGCAAATGCGAATGCCAATTATTTAGAATTATATTTCAGTAAATATTTTTGTCAATTGGATTGCCTAATTAATTTTTTACGCTTATGCACCAGCCGCCACTGCTTCGGATACCTTATTAACTTGCAAACCTGTTTGTTTACATTTGCATATTTAAATATAAAACAATGTTGAATATGCAAAAATTCTGTCAATTTATGCCCAATGCTAAAGCGGTTTTTAAGGCAGCTTAATTGGCTATGATTACGCCGATTACCGGAAATTTGATAGGGTAACTTACTTTTTTCTGCACTTAGAACAATTTGTTTCCCAGTGTCTTCCGATCCATTGAGATTCGTAAAGCCAAGGGAAACAGCAAAATATTTATTCCAAAGTTATTAGCAACGAAAAACAACTCTGTTTATGGGTTTTAAAAGGTCATTTAAACCTAAACTCTATTAAAAGATTTAAGACAGCAAACTTGCTTATTCTAAATTTAGTCGAAACTTTCTGTTTAAGGTAGTTTTCTTTTTTTGGAAAAACAAAAGGACGCTCTCCACTATTTCTTTGAATATCTGGCACGTGTGGATATGGCCTTTGCTATTTTTAATTTTGAATATTTCTTACCTTCTATTTTAAGCCTACTGGCTTTTTCGTTTTTGCTTTTTTAGTCTTGTTTTCTTCACTATACGATTTACTTTGGGATGTAAACGTTTCAGATTATTTAGTTACCGTTTACACAATGTAAAACCTTTGAAAAAGTTTAATGAAGGAAAAATAGTTTTCAAAGGCTTAAAGGTATTGGGTCTATTGTGGTCTTCGGAAAAATCTTATGGTTTGATCCGAAAGCCTGGTGAGAACAATGTTTCTTCCACTTCTTTAGCCAAGACTTTTCTCAATCAAATATTGAATCATCCTGTATATGCGAAGTACAGTTTTTTCATCACTTCCATAGTATATTCCTAATAATTATAGCACTTATACTTGTGCTATTTTTAAGTTTAAGGCAATTAAACTGGAGCAATTAACGCATTTACAACAGTGTAAATTGCACATTATTATTTTTACTTATCCCGTAGCCGTATAATGGCGTGCATTATTTATAAATAAATTGCCTTCAAAGCCAGCAAGTGAAACACTTAGCCGGATAATAAATAAATTTCAAATTCTAGCTTGTAATGGAAATCAGCGCGATTTATTATTGAATGATACTTTCTTCGATAAATCACTGGTTTTCATGCAGGTTTAATCAATTCGAGCTAATTAATGTTGTAAAAACCCGAAAAATCAGGTAAACGTGTGGGAGCGTTGAGTATATTTTTATCTGGTAAATACAAGACGCTTTCAGAGGGGGTTTAAACTATTTATATCGTTCAAAAACAACCTTTCAGGGGCATTTTGAGAATACAGTTTGTGGTTTTCACGAGCAAAACGATTATAAGTAAATTTTCTGTCGTTGATCCAGACATTTAACTTGAATGGCTAGCAGGATTCTTGCGGTCTGTAACCGCATAAATACAGGATGTGATCACTAATCTGCGGACCAGAAATAATGATTTTAAATAATATTATCGTTCTAGCAGTATGATGCGATGGTTGGTTCGTTTTCATTGGATTGATCACTGGTTGAAATGCGCGATTTCTAGCTGCTAGCTAAAAGTAATTGAAGGTTTTTAAGGTGTAGAAAAAATGCACTTACCATTAAGCTGATCATTTTTTGCGAAAAATTTACCAAATATTCGGGAGGTTCTGGGGACTCACGAAAACTGTTAATATGTGCTTTAGAGTTTAAAATGTTCAGCTGTGATCCACTTGGCAGGCGGAAAATCGCATTTTTGTTGCTAAAACCGCACTATCGATCGCAAAAACGACACAAAAAGTGAGCGGAAAATTCCTTCATTTGGGAAAAACACATTTTTTCGCCGAAAAATTGAAACATTTTGTATTTTTTGACGAAGCGAATTGCGGACAGTTTCCAACCATTAAACAATTGACAATTGATGAAATGACTATGGCAATTTTGTGGTATTTTCAAATAAGAGGGCTGTTGAATAGTTGGCTGGCTTTACGTTCTTGTAACCGAACATTTTTCAAAATTCTTAACAAAAATGTTTATTACTGGTTGAATTTTTTGAAGATTTTTACGCAGAAACTTGTTGTTTTTTTTCAATTGCATTTGACTTACCTACTACGGAAAAAAATCAGCTCCACCAGACGTAAAACTCCCAGACAAAAAGTTAGTAAAAACACTCGTTGCACCAAACCATCGCGTTAGCAATTAGAGCTGAGGGAAGAGCGCACAGTCGGTAAAGCACCCAAGCGCGTTTGTAAACAGTGGTTCAATAACCAGAACTCCTGCTAGTCCTGCCGACAAAAACGAGCCAAAATCACGATGGGAAAGATGGAAAGCAACGATGCGTGTGCAGGAGCGATAGTAAAAGTAACGAAACAATCGCATGCAGACCTGAAAATGGTGGGTTCGGCTAATAGAGCCGCAGTGGGACCTTCCGTGCGGAAGTACAACTTCCGCTGTTATCAGATAGTGCACATACAAATGGTACATTCGGATAAAAGCTGCAGAATTACACTATTGCGGGTATACTTCGTGTGGGACGATACAAACTTCTATCTATAATAAAATAATCTTTTGCGCTCAATTTATACGTTTCTGTCCAGTATCGGAGCTTTCATATATATGTTCCTCATGGTAATCAGTTTTCTACATTTGCCAACATTTTAAAAGTCCAGACGGATTAAATCTGGATTTTCGGGGGGCCAAACAATGTTCAATCAAATAGAACAAAAAACGTAAGTGTTCGATTGGGGCAAAATGCAACGGGCCATGTTTTCTTAGGCGATGTGAGAATCTGCAAAAATTATCCGTTTTCGGCAGCAACTGGAAAAACCTTAAGAAACCCATTTTTTTATCAAAAACACAATTTTCTTGGTATTCGTCTTGTTCTTGTTGAGAGCAACTGCAACTGTTGCAGTCTTGCTTTTAAATAAGAATTAAAATGGAAAC